ACGAGTAATTCAACAGCTTGGGCTTTACACATACTTGCAAAGCATCCAGATGTGCAGGATAGGTTACGTGAAGAGTTGGTTGGAGCTATTCCCGATAAATCAAAATTTAATCCCACCTATGACGAAATTAATTCTTTGGAATTCCTTAATTGCGTAGTTAAAGAAACGTTAAGATTATATCCTGCCGGTAAATTTTTAAAAAGTTACAGATTTCATAGAAGCTTTAATTAACGATTAAGTTTTATTTTAGGTTCTTTTCTTCAACGTTCTAATCTCAAAGATATGTTTTTTGGCGAGCATTTTATTCCGAAAGTATGTTAATATTTTAATGTTCTATTGTTATTCATGATAGGTTAAGGAAGTACTTTTCTAAAAATTTTACCTTTTAATTATTAGGGTTCTACAATTGATATTCCAATTGCAACGCTTCAGAGATTACCTTCGATTTGGGGACCAACAGCGGAAACTTTTGATCCCAAAAGATGGTTAAATACTTCATTAATTAAAGATGTGACAAATTACAATTATTTGCCTTTCGGCACTGGTGTTAGATCTTGTATAGGTAACAAAATAGCTTTAAGTGAGTTTAAAATATTATTAGGCATATTATTTAGAAATTTCATTTTTCGACCCGTTGAAGGATTTGAGGTTAAGAAAAGGGTTGGCAATTTTACTAAACCTGATCCATATGTTGAATTAATTGTTTCTAAGGTTGATATTTAGCAGGATTTTATATGGATTATCCTAAAATATCTCGGATTATGATCTTATTACTATCATTATTATTTCTTTAACCTGTTATTTATTAAATGCGTAATATATAAATAAATATATATATATTATTCTAAACTATTTTGCCTTACGCTGCTTTATATTTACTCGGGATCTAAACCTTTTATATTTTAGTTATAGTTATATATTAGCATTTGTTTAGGAATAATCTTTTCTCAATAATTGAATAACACCTGCTTTATACACATAATTTAATCAAATTACAATAATTATTTTTAAAAGAAAATTCGTTCAGCGATTGCACGGCACGTTTTTTTTAAAAAAAATATATTAACTTATAAGCGAGTTTGTAACACCGACCAAGCTAATTGCCGCAGTATATTCACGCATTCGCATGATATTTTATGTAATCATTTGTTATAGTCACAACTTCAATATCATCACAAAGTTAAAAATCATAAAAATAAAATCAATTCCCACGTAAAATTACAAGTTAGGGTTATGTTACTGGTTCTTGCAGACTTAATAATTAAAGGATCGGACACATACGTTTATTTAAAAAAGAAAAAAATTTCAAAATATTTGAATGGTAAATGACCATGAGCCAAGTCCAATTCTTCTCAAAGATCCATTCCACAAGCTCGGATCCGAAACAACACAATCGTTCATAATAAAAAAAGTTTAGTAAATAATAAAAGCAAAAAAAATAAAAAATTTTCAGGTAACCACCACTTCCTCGATTCTTCCTGCGTGTATTCGTTCCAGAAAGGCAATAAATCCCCCGCGTTTCCAGTTGAGTCCTGAGCTGATATCACTAACGATTTCATATTTGTTGTTCCATTATACTTTCGTTTTAAGAGGAGTAGAAAGTTTTTTTTTTTTTCTTTTTTTTAGCTTTATACATAGATTGGTGGCTTGTTAAGACGAAATATATAGACTCACAAAAGAATTTATCAACATATTTCAAAAGAATAAAAAGAATAAATTGAAAATATACGCAATTTGAAAAAAAAAATTCGTGGTTTCAAGACGAAATCACATTTAATTTGAAAATCGAAATGATAAAATCATTACTTTACTATTTACTTCTGTTCTACCAAGATGAATTTTATTAAAAATCATTGACATGGAATACCTTTCCTGAGGTTGATTGGTTACTTATTCAATATGAACCTTCTAAAAATTTGACATTTTTATATATTCAATTATTATCTTTGGTAACCATCCAAATAAATCACGGTATGACGTGATGAATTGAATCACAAAAGTCGGAATATGGATAAAACAATAAAAATTAATGAAAGCTTTAGGTATTAATATGTTAGTAACAATCACCATTAATTTTTTACTTAGCCGCTCCTCCTTTCACAATTACATAAAAATATTTATTTTCATTTGTTTATAAAAATATGCAGTAAAAAAAGCATTACATGTTGTTATATCAAATACATAGAAGTTTTAATGTTATAAATCAACCAATCACGTTCTACTTTTGTCAAATTTAAGAAAGTAATAATTTGCACTGAAATAAGCGATAACGGAAATGAACTATCACCCCCATTAAATTGCTACGTCTCTTGGATTCTGTTTGCACTTTATTAAGTAGTCTAGCCAGGTTGTAAAAGGTAGTTTTGTTAAAAAAGGGAGTTTTATTTAGGAATGTGAGCTACTGATAGAGATGTTTTTATTTAAAATTACTTTTCCTTATACTGATATAAAATATGCTTATTAAGCATCAAATAGATTTGTAATACGAAAAGTGTGGTTTATTCGGGAATGTTCAAAATTAGTGTGACGGTATGTTTTTCAAATTAATTTAATAAAAGAAAGCATTGCAAAATATAAAATTATATAAATAAATAAATAAATACAATAATAAACATATTATAAAACTTGACAACTTCTTTTGTTAATAACGTGTTTTTGATGCATTTTTTATTTGAATAAAATTTCTTAAGTTCGAAAGGTAATAATAAATTTTTATTGTATTTTCTAGTAAAATAAACCATAGAAAACAATTAATTCATTGATCACCCATTTCAATATATTCAGTTTATAGTAAATTTTTCTAATGCTCGAGATATGTAATCGCGGGTGTTTTGAATTCTATTCAAATTAATTTTTAAATATGAACTTCATTTTTTAATCTTTTATTCGATATTAGCGTGCTTATCATTACTAATTTTGAGTCATTCATAATATGATTTTCTTTCTTAAGATTTTCAAGTTCCTAATATACATTGAATTAGAAAATATAAATAATATAAATAATATTGGATTGATTGCTAGGAAAATCAGGTTCCGGGAATTTTTTAACAAAATTGAGATTTTTATTGCATTTTCGTTTTTGATGATGTTATTAGATTAAAATGTATTAAGCTCTTAATTTAAGTGAAAAATTTCTCGGAACCTGATTTTCCTAGAAACCCTCCCATATGGCGAAAAAAAAAAGTATAAATGATAAAGAAAAAAATCGAATTATTCGGCAAAAAACTGTCTCGCACTTTCTGGTTTTCATAAATTTATACACCTATAATAATAATAATAATACAAATTAAGGAGATGATACTTTTAAAAAAATTTTCGCTCTTGTTTTCCATTCATTTGTCAATTCTTACCATTTTGAATTATAAAGCGTCCGGCTCGAAGGTTCTCGATGACATCGCGTATGTTAATATCAATGACACGATAAATCTATTTGTCGGAAATGATTTTAATTAATTTTGAATTTTTTTAATTACATTTATTTAGTCATCGATTCGCACCTGTAGTGTACTTGCATCCTAGTGAACCGTATGTATATTTTCTTTTTTTTAAAAAAAAAAAAAAAAAATCTTTTTTTTTTCAAAACTGAACATAATTGTCTCATCATAGATATTATCCAAGTGACGTGGAACTTTTTCTCGATAATTCCATAATGGCATTTGGTAAAGACAATTCAGTTGACGGAGTTTATTATATCGACCCAAGGAACAGGAGAAAAACAGGTGCTCCATCACAACTTTCCAAATCAAGTCTCCTAAATTTCGCAATTGACATATCCGGCACAACATATCGAAGTAATTCTCCGACACATCCTGATGGTGAAGATACGTTATTCCGATTAGTTGGTAATGAAACGATTAAAGAAAATCGATCAAAAGCATGGTATACACCACCAAATAAACCACCACCGGCTTATTATCGGATTCACACAGGACAAGCTGATAAGAAGATTTATGACATCGAATATTGGTTATTTTATCCTTATAATGGTCCAACTAATTTTGGTTTAACCCCTCACGAAGGAGATTGGGAACAAGCCACCGTAAGAGTCTATGTTGATGAAAATGCAAAGGATGATAAACCGAAATCCCAGGTGTTGGGAGTTTGGATGTCCGCTCATTCGGAAGGAAGATGGTGGGCCCCATCCATTTATCAATCTAGTGGTTCAGATATAGGCCCATTAGATTTTGAAGAAGGACGTCCCATCGTTTATAGTGCGATTAATTCGCATGCAAATTATGGTACTATTGGAACACAAAAATATCTTGCAAAAAAAATTATTTATCTTGAAGATCATACCGATAAGGGACAAAAGTGGCCTATCGCGGATAACCTAATAAAAATTTTAGAAGATACCGATAGGCAATTTGATGTTGAGAAAACTAAAGTGATAAATAATCAATTTTGGGTCAAATTTAGAGGGAAATGGGGAAGGTACGTTGATTATGTGGTGGACATTGGATCAGGACCAATCACTCCAATTGAAGCTGGAAATATTATTGATCCTGCTCAATGGAAATCTCAAAAGTTTCCATTTGATCCCATTCCAAAATAAAAAGATTTTTCATGACGGAAATTTACCGTAATTTTTCAACGGGTGACGTGTATAAAAAAACAATAACCAAAACGGAATGATGATCTTGCCAATCATTTTCTCGTTACCAAAAAAAATTCCTCTTGTCATCACATTTGTTAAGGCAATAAGTAAATAGATTATAATGAGAATCTACACACTTTTTTTTTTGACAATTATAATAAAAATATGATGCTAACGAAACTCGGTAGCTAAATTGAACCTAAGTTTTGAACCGTGTCACACCATACCGCAGTAAATGTGAATTGAATCTGGTACAAAATATATGTATATAAAGGAAAATTTACATATTCTTGCTTTATTGTGGTTGTAAATGCCAGTATTAATTTGGTCCTTCCCAATAAACGATTAAATACCTAGAATTCAATCATCATTTGATTAGATGGATTACAATCGAGTCATAAGACATTTAACAATTTGTTCAAAATGTTACACTAATCTTACCTTTTATGTCAATTATAAATTTTTTTTTTAATCGATTCAAATGGAATTGGTTTAAAGAATTACGTTTTTAGTTCTTTCTTTATCAATAAAATAAAATAGCGAAGCCCACATAACAAAAAAGAAATTAACCGAACCTTTTTTTAATTATTTAATGTGTAATATTAATTGTAAAGAAGTTTGGCGTAAAAAGGGGTCAAAGGAGATCGGCAGGATTTTGACCTTTTTTTCAGGGTTGGAATTTCAATAATGTCAGATGGTTTCTAAAAAGGTAAAGCTTCGGACGTCTCTATAAAAAGGAAAGACTGATATAAATGTTTTGCCTCGTTGTGCGCAAACTCATGACCTGTTAAAAAGATTGAAAAATATATAAAATTTATTATTAATTGGTGTTTGTTCTATATAATGTTCTTTTGCTAATGATATATTTTACAATATCATTCGTAAACTCCCCATAGAATGAATCCTTTATCAAGAATATTATAGTCAAAAACGAACTTCGATATAATTAAAAGTTCGGTTTCTTGGTTGTATAAATCATTGTGTAATATAATTTTAAGACCAAACTGTTTTTAAATTAAAATTAAAATTGGGTGTATCAATGAAAGATTGTTTTAAAAACGGTCAACTTAATTAAGGATAGGATGGTGTCAAACTCGGAAGTTAGATCCCCATTTGATCAAAGTGAATTCCTTTTTGGATTATAATCTCAAAATTGCTTCATTGAATTCCAAATTTATTGCACCAACAAATTTCCTTTTGTAGATGTAGTTTTAAATTTAAGATCAGCCGATTTATTGGATCTTTTGGAATTCCAATTTATAATATGTCGCCACATAAACTTTACTGGCATAGAATAACAAATGTTTAAATTATATACTATTTATACCTCATTTAATATTCCTCATGCATTAAAATAATAAAAAGTTCATCTGCATTCTGTAAATCGGTAGGATCAAATGTAAAAATAAAGGTGAATTGCGTAAACGTTTTTGTCGGAAAATTTTTGATTTGTTTAAAATTTGGTTAATGATAAAGTTCAGGTCCGACGCGAGCCCTTTGTTTTGCATATTACATACATCCTTTCAGCCTTACTGTTGTAAATGATTTTGTTAAAAAGGTTAATACGGGTTATTATAATATTCTACAAGATCATTCCATATTTTGCAGGGTAACGGGAAAGAAAAAAAAAGGAAAAAAAATATTCTAAGTGACCGCTTTTTTTCTCACGTTCAGTAATTATTATTTTTAGTCATCAAAATATATCCATTCAAAGAATCTTCTCTTGCATGACCATTTCGTTCGAATGATAACGTAGTTGCTGACGGAATCAATTTTTGAACAATATAAATAGGCAGGGTAGCAAGTGCAAAACAACTTAAAAAATTCTCACTTTTTACCCAAAAATATAAAAAAATTCAATCAATCAATCAATCAATAAATAAAATGCCTAGAAATTCTCGTTCCACCTCCATTAAACCGCTTACCCTACCCTTTCCTCCCGTTATAACGATAGAAGAACTTCTTGCAAATGCTGTTAAATCTAAGAAAGCCAACGTGACCATCCCAAATTCTTTTATCGCATACAGAATGGCGTTGCATAG